CTCTCTGAAATTCAATAATTGAAGAATTGTGTGGGCAGTGATGCTGCTGCTGATAATCAGAACTGGTACTGGCCCATCTGATAGGTGGACCCCTCTTTATCTACGTCCATTAGTTGGTATTTTTCAACTCGACCATGTCAAGGGCCATGTGATTACAGAGCAACGATGGTGATGCATGAGCAGACCGTATACCACATCTCTCCTGAGCCCTGCCCCTTCTGTACTACTACCTTTTCATTTAATGCTGCTGGCCCTCCCCTTCATCTTTACTCCTTGTCGTTACTTTTACCAATTTATTTTCTTAATCAATTAAAATTTATCTGTTTTTTTGGCCTTCCATTGAAATTTATCTTAATCAATCCACAAGGGAACATGACCCCCCCCCCTCTCTCGTTAATATATAGCAATAAAAATATAATAATTCTCATCCTAAACAACTTTTAGCTTCACATATATTTGTTGTGGAATCGAATCTAAGGGTTATAAGGTGATGGATTTCTTGTTAAGAGTTAGATATTCAACAACGAAATGGAGATTATAGAAAATTTTAATTCAAATTTAATTATAAAAGATTTTAAATCTTGCTACTATAAAAAAAAAAAGAAAAGAAAAGATTTTCAATCTAAAGACAGATAAGCGTTAATTTAAAAGAATAATGTTTTTTTTTTGTTACTATATATTTCTTTTAATTTATACTAAGTTTTGTAAAGATAATACTTTCTTAATAAATTTATTTTGTATTTTATATATGTTATAATTTATATTATATTTATATATGATAGAAAGGAAAAAAAAAGAGAGAGAGAAATTCGACCTCTAATAATCTTGGTCAAGTTCTACTCTAGAGCAAAGTGATTGGCATGATCACCATCGATTGTTTATAAGATAACTTAATGCAAAATTGCACAGGCTTTATATGCAAGTGCTTTTTTTTTTTTTTTTTTTTTTGGATATGGGATGACACAATAAGAAACAACCCTCTTTCATCCCTTAACTTATTCCACCTACATGTCATATAATTTGAATACAAGATCTCTTATTTTTATTGGAAGAAGATTATCACTAAATTATTTAGATTATTGGCACATACATGCTTTTCTTCTTTATTGGTTTAGTGCTTGCAAGGGTGATGTGAGTTCTATATTTGCCATAAAAAGGTGGCTTGATTCTGACATTTGTTTTTCTACACTTTTTAGTCTCTCAATTCTCTAATTTGGTACTAATATAGTCTCCCTATTAACTATTTGAAAAATTAAGGGACCATTTTTTATAATCTTGATTTTGCTACTTGGAATAGCTGGAGGAGGTTTTCAAGCACTTGTGTCACCTATGCATAGGAAAAACGAAGAACTTGTTAAGGTTGGCACCGAAGTTGTCTTCAATGTATGCCTTTTGATGCCTAAGTCAAGTAAGGTTCGATGAAGATACAGAAGAAGGAAGAAGAAGTTTAGGAGAGAAGATGGACTCCAAGAGATTACCTAAAATGGTGTTGAGGAAGCCTTTTATAGTCCCTTTCCCAATTTGTCTCGTGGTAGGTGGACCCACCGATTTCTATACGTCGTAGGTTCCTTATTTGTCAAAATAGTATAAGTGGCAAATACAACAGCCTGTACTGTACACATGGGTAGAAGAAAAAGGGTTAAGCGAACGTCCTCTGACATTCTATTATTGGTGTGGGTGGTGCTTTATGCTTGTATTATCTGACACCATATGGGTCCGCTATCCTTTGTACCTTGTCTTTTACTTAGCCTTGATAACTAAGCTAGTGTTATCGATTCACCCTGAGTAGCTTACTAGCTACATAGGTTCTAATCAAAATAACTGGTCAATTAAGAACCTAGGAGCCTTGTAGGTACGTAGCCTTAACAGTTATTTTATGAGAGCCTTCTTTAGGTCAGATTGAACTGACAAGTCTTACTTAGTTCAACTATTTCACAAAGGACATAAACTAGTGAAAAGCCACCATGTGTATAATGGGTATTTAGCTAATATCAATTTTGGTAATATATCTCTGTTAAAGTTAATGTGTCATGTCATCAAATAGTTAATGGAGGGACCATCTTAATTTCTAATTCAAAAATTAAGGATAAAAAAAGCACAAAAAAGGTTGAGAGACAAGTTGGGTATAAAAGCTGAAAATATTGACAAGAAAAAAAATTAAATTGTTCTTACCTCCATTGATTTGAGGTTGGTATACTTAAACCCCTAATTTTTTTTTAAAAAAAAAGTGCACTTAATCTTTTTTGTTTGAAAAATTGTGTAATTAATGCCCAAATTAATTAAATATTAAAGGTCAAAAATCAAAAATATCCTTCAATACAATACAATAACAATAGCATTTTGGTTAAGCATACCTTTTACAAACTAAAGGAAACAAATGGGGCAAGTGCAATTTGAGGGAATAAGACAATCTTGCCATAAATAAAAGTGATTCTTACTTGAGTCTTTTTTGAGATAAGGGCCATAAGGCAATTGAATTACCCTTGTCTTGAGAATGCCTATAAGGAGTATGGTACACAAAAGGCGAAGACGAATGGAGTCTGCCCATTCTGAACTGAAGAATCTCAGTTCTAATTTGTGCGATTCTCAACGAGGCAGGGAGTGGGACTGAGGTGAGGTGATGGGGTCAAGAGTACTTCAGACCTGATGATACACTGCTTTCCAAAGTAACGTTCCATGCATGCACTTGCACATGCTTATGTGACTATGTGCATGAGTACATGTACAAAATAATATTAATTTTTTTAAAAGAAGAAAATAAAACAGGACTGACCCATAGTTGTCGCTGATCCAGGAGCTGCAGCAGTGCCAAGGGCCTAACCATTGAACTGCTTGCTGATGTGGGAAATCATGATCACCTGAATGATTGGCTCTCGTTGGGGTTGGGGTTTCTAGCAAGCTTGGAGGAGGCCGTGCCTTTGTCTTAACAAAATTGGGAATGTGGACCCCCACGAATTTAGCTGGACATCATGGCCTTTTGCTCTTGGCATGACCATCATGACTTTGATGGATGGGCATTATGGATGACTTATTGAAGTAGTTATTTCTCACAAACATATACAAAATGTGTAATATAATTTAAATTATACAATTTAAATTATTAAATAAGAGTGAACTCTCAAATATGAGTTGTTTCTCCATTCAATAGTTCCAATGCTGTTTTTTGCCTTCACTTCGTAGTACCCCCCTTCCATCGCCTAGTCTAGCTGTCCCTGTTAATCTATTCCTTCAAAATAGTGAACACAATACACACACATATATATAATATTCTCGTTGCGCTAGACTTTCTCCTATTGAAGAGATATGTTTCCCAGCAAAAAGCTAAGCAGCTGGCAACATGTCTTGTCCAATTTAATGTCTCCAGCTCTCCATTGAGTATATGATGATCATCAATGGTGGAGACAAGATTTTCCGATTCACTAACATCCATCATGAACGATTTCCGGCGGCCCCATGGCTCTTGCATTATCTATATTGACTATGGATTGTGATGGATTGCCCCAACCATTAAAAAAAGGAAGGAAGGGGGATTGATTGACATGAAAAAGGGACACTACACTCAAGAGATAAAAGAAAGGTGGGGATTGGGGAAGAGAGTCAAAGAAGAACTTGATTGCCGGCCGGAAACGCTTCGCCAGCCAAGCTTAATTTTGGATGATTGTGACTGGAGTGAGTTGTCG